AACCATTCCTCCACACCGGATTTTCTCAAGGCCCATCTTGTAATCTCACGCGGCACCCTATCAAATGCTTTCTCCAAATCAACAAACGCATAATAGAGTTTCTTTTCCTTCGCAAGATACTTCTCCTGAATTTGTCTCACCACAAAAAATTGCATCTGTCGTGCCTTTTCCCGATGTAAAACCAAACTGCATTTCATCAATTTTGATTTGTTCCCTTATCCGCTTTTCTAACACTCTCTCAAATACTTTCATTGCATGTTCCAAGAGTTTAATAGCTCTGTAAGACCCACAATCTAAAGGATCACCTTTCCCCTTGTATACTGGGATAATTATACTTCTTCGCCAGTCCTCGGGAATAGTACCTTTTGTGACAATCTGATTTGCTAAATTCATTAACCATTCAATCCCTAAATCATCAGAACCTTTAAACATCTCTGATACCACCATCGTTAAACCCGATGCCTTCCCTTTCTTCATCTTTTTCACTGCTCTCCTTATCTCGTCCTTGCCAAATTTACACCCTGGACCTTCTACCTTTGCACAACTAATATTATTATTCCATTCATTATCTTCATTCAATAGTCCTTTCATGTAAATCTTCCAGGTGTTCTTAATACCACTACTATCAATCGTCATTTTTCCTTCCATATTTTTCAAACACTTTACACCTATCACATCCTGCCTCTTTTTTGACATCTGTTTTGCCATTCTAACCATATTTCCAATTCCATCAGCGCATATCATTTCTTTAGCAAACTCGTGTCTTTTTTCTTCTTGAGCCTTCGCTATTAATTTCTTAGCATTTCTTTTAGCCATCTTGTAAATATCATTATCACTATTTTCTTTGCTATTATACCATACTTTGAAACACCTCCGTTTCTCATCCACGGCTTTCGCTACCTCTGGGCTCCACCACCAAGTCTCCTTATGTCTAGGCGGCCCTTTTGTCCATCCACATACCTCCTCAGTTGTCATTACCCAAGCTTTCTTCATGGCTTCCCACTTGTCATTCACCCCAGATGCTTGTGCCACCTCCGCCTCCCTAATCGCCAATGCCATATTGAATTGACGTCTAGCATTCTCCTCCTTCAATTTCCAAACCTTCAGCCTTGGGACAAACTTTCTTTTAATGACCCTGGCACCTTTAAGAGTGAGATCTCCTACAACTAGTCGATGCTGATTTATACATTCCTCTCCCGGTATCACTTTCACATTTTTAATTATACATCGATCACATCTCCTTAATAACAAGTAATCCACAACACTTTTGGTACTACCCGACTTATAAGTCACCAGCTTCTCTGATTCTTTCTTAAACATTGTATTACAAACAATCACATAGCATCACTAAATTCTAAAATCCTCTCTCCTTCCAAATTTCTCATGCCGTAACTGAACCCTCCATGTACTCCTTCATAACCCTCACTACTCGCTCCCACATGTCCATTCAGATCGCCAGCCAGGATAATCCCCTCTTCATTTGCCAGTCTCGATGTCACCCCCAATAGACTGTCCCAAAATACATCTTTCTCTTCTTCACTTCTTCCAACCTGAGGAACATATGCCGAGATCATATTATATAGCTTTCTACCAATAATCATCTTGATAACCATTATCTGGTTGTCTAGCCTTCTCACTTCGACTACTTTGTCTACCAATTTCTCCGCAACCAATACCCCAACTCCAGCCTTACCATCATTACCTCCTTGCCAAAAGAATTTATACTTTTCGCTAGTCTTGCCAATCATTCTGGTCCCATTTCCTTTCCATCTAGTCTCCTGTATGCAGCACACATCTATATGTCTTCTGTGCAATACATCGACGACTTCTCCCGCTCTTCCCGTCATACTCCCAACATTCCATGTCGCGACCCTAACTCGATCACCCGTAAACTGGTTTCTCCACTTTTTATCAGGTCGTTTATGGCCGTCATAGGTTTCATTTTCATGAATAGTGGTTCCACCAGGTTTCCCATCCTTCTTTTTGTCGTAGGCGGATGAGGAGGCCCACGGGGTACTTTGGGCTGTACCCCGCCCATGCTTTGTTGTAACCATAGGGAAATTTTTGTAGCATGGTTTTTACAATCGGATGCCCTTCCTGACATCAACCTCTTTAAGTGGTTTTTACACCCCGTCGAGGAGACGGTGATCCTATTCTAGACCCAGATCACAGGGAACCTTTTAGACCTCCATTTGCCGCCAAAAGACGTTGCCACTCCCCAGCCACGATGAGGCTGAAGGTAGGTAATGGTTCAAGTGCAAATATTTTAGAAGTTATGGTTAGGTTACGGTTCAGATGTTATAAATCTTGGCTTTAAAAATTCTTTATAGATTTATAAATTTAAAAAATCCAAATACATGGCACAGCAAACGTAAAATAATTTCACAATATTTAATTTATATTACATGTAAATAAAATATTATCGAACCATGATGGATATTGAGCGAAAATTAATGTCGCTTGTTTGTATAATTAATTTAATTTTTAAAAAATAAAATTATGACTAAAAATTTGAAAGAAATAATATAATTTACCAGGGTCCAGGGCTTCGAACTGAACCGCAAAACCGGAACGACCTGTTATAATTTTCTGAACCGTAACTGAACCGTTATAAAGAAAATATAAAAAGAACGAACCGAACTGTTATAAATATTCTGAACCGGTTAACGGTATCCAACTCAATCGTTTTTAAATAATTAATTTTATTTATTAACCTAAATTTAAAATTTTCCTTGGTGGCAATTTAAATTCGTGATTTCTTTTCAAATTAAAATTTTTTACAATTAAATGGCCATTATCTTCATATCAATCAATATCAAGTTTATTGTTTTTTTATATACCTAATTTAATAGAGATTAGGTAAAATTACTAGTTAATTCGATATGATATAATATACATGGTTAAATTAAATAAGGAATTATAAAAATATAAATTAAAAAGATTTTTCTCTAAGATTAATAATATATAAGATTTTTGATTAATTTTTTTAAAAAATCAAATTTATAAAAACCAGGGATGTGAACCCGGACCCTGAACCCTCGTATTTTGGCTGAACCCGGACCCTTTTAAAAATAAGAGGGTCCAAGGGTTCACGGTATTAAATTAATTTTAAAAAAAATAATATAAAATTTTTATAATTTTATTAATTTTTTTCGTGGAATCTCCCTAAAAAATAGTTACTTTAAAACTATAATTAATAAAGCAAGGGATGTTGTAAAATATTTAAGAACTCCCACAATTGTTAGAATATTAAAATCCATGAAAAGGCAAATGGCAATTTTAGATTGCACAACACGTTGGTCCTCTATATGTATGATGCTAGAGCGATTGTTAAGTTTGAAAGATTTCTGTAATGATTTAATCATAGGAGCATGTGAAATCATTTTGTCAGAAGATGATTGGAATCAAGTAAAAGAGCTTACTAGTGTGCTGGTTCCTTTAAAAATAACAATATTAAGAGTGCAAGCTGAACAATTATGTTTATCGGATTTTTATGGCATATGGTTAAGATGTCGATTAGAGTTAAGGAGATTAACAAGTTCTTTTTCAAATGAAGTATTAGAAAATACGAAAATAAGAGAGCAACAATATTTACAATATAGTGTTGTATATGCTTCGATATATTTAGACCCGCGATATCAGGTTTTATTAAGTAGTGAGCAAAAACAAATGGCTATAGACCATCTTGAAGATTTATGGCATACCCAAAACTCTATTATTTACAATATATTGGAGGTTACAACAATATCTACTGGTTGTAGCGATAACAATGATAATGATAACGATATTGATGATCTGGAAATTTTACTATTAGATAAAGAGAAAAAAAATTAAATTATCACCTGATAGAAAGGAGCAAAAAATATCTATTGTATCTTTAATAGAAAAGTTCTCGGAAGTTAGAATAAATAGAAATGCAAACATTTTAAAATTCTGGGAGGAAAATTCTTCAATATATCCAGAATTATATACCTTGTCTAGAATCGTCATGGCTGTACCGGCGACACAAGTACAATAATTTATGTATTATAAAAATGACTATCTATTTTAGGTAAGCGTAGAACGTGGATTTTCATCGTTGAAATATATTTTTTCTAATTTACGTGGAAATCTGAAGGATGATATTTTAGAAGATATCATGATTGTGCGATTGAATAAAATATTTAAAATATAAATTATCTCATTTCGAATTATAAATGTGTATATATTGAAGTATAATAAAAAATGAATGAAAAAAAGTCTTATTTTGAGTCATTATTTTTATGTTTCCTCTGAACCCGGACCCGAACCCTGGACCCGGGTCCTTTTTAAATTTATAACCGGACCCGAACCCGGACCCTTTTTTTAGTCGAAGGGTTCACATCTATGATAAAAACCGAAAAGAACCGTTACAAATTCTAACCCGAAACGAATCGATATGAATTTCTTCAAAAAAAACCGAAATAACAAAATCTTTTAAAAATTTTTTAATTAAAAACCGAAAAGAGCCAAATCGTTATACTTAACGATTCGAAGCTTTGCAATTTATTAATATAAAATTACAACATTCCCGGGAAAGGTAAAGTAGCAAAATAATGGCAAATTATAAAAAGAATGGTGGCAATTATCAAAAAATGATCTGAATTAAAATAATAAAACATAACGGTTGGTAAAGATTATAGAGGTGCTGTTCCCTCCAGGTCGCTAAAATTAGCGAAAAGGATGATAAATATATTTTCATGTCAATTTATACGAAAATAAACATAAATTAATTAAAAAATAGTTTAAAACTTATAATTATATATATTTATGCATTTTTATTACCTAAAAACCAATTAATTTAAATAATTCGTTCATAACGAATAATTAACTATTTGTATTAAAATGAATCGAAAAATTGACGATTCCTATTTAAATGAATAGAATAATGAATTCTATTCGTATTAGAACAAACAAAAATAATAATTTGTTTTGGAATAGGCCCAATAGGCAGAATCAGAGTCAAGGCAGTAAATAAATACTTCAATTTCTTTTTCGGTCCACTCGCCCCTAAAAAGCCTTAAATGTCTTCCCTTGCCATCAGTCCCGTCTGCTAGACCACTCAGAATATCTTTCACTTTTTGCAGCACATCCTTTTCTTCTTTCAACTTTTTGGCCTCAATCGAATTGGCTCCTTGCCTAAAAGTATTTTTATTTTATAATACAGTACTCTTTGTTTAATTATGAATTGATAATTAATTTCTTTCACAAATAACTTCATATTAATTTTTATTAGATAAGGCCTTAAATTGAGTCCTTATCTATTATGGTAAACTAATAATCATATATTTTTATTAGAATATGCTTTGATAAGACACATCTTAAAATACGGGGGAAATTTTATTTACTTCAATTTAGGTACGATTTGAAGTTGAAGGAAAAAGTTTATATAAGCTGTGTGAGAAGTTGTATAGTCTATGGTTGTGAAATATGGGCAATGAAAATGCTTGGTTAAATAAATGTCTGGGGTATTTCATAGAAAAACCAGCTTGGAATTGCAAAAAAAATTGGAAAAGAAGCGATTAGAGTGGTAATAAGAAGAAATAAACGCAGGTAGTTTAAGTATGTTGAACGGGAGACGATTGGATATAAAGAGGTGCACTATGGATTAAAGAGATCGAATCCTTGAGTATCCAAGACGACGTGGATGAAATTGATAATGGATGACATTAGAAATATGGATCTTACAAATAACGATATCCAGGACTGTATAAATATAGAAGGGGGATCAAAGAGGAAACTGGCTTACACGAGTGAATTTGAAAAATTGTCATTAAACGGATATGATAAAATTATCTACATCTTTCAAAAAGATATAATAATCTTTTCCATAAAAAATTTAGGTATCAAAAGAATTAGATGTATTTCTTTTATTTATTTACTCTTTATATTATGTAACAAAGGCTGCAGATAGAATGTGAGTTTGAAAAATGGCCCGAAATAATTTAATATCCTTTTAAAAATATTTGGTTAGGAACAATATTTTATTTAAAAAAATTATGGGATTGTTTTGAAGACCATTATTTTATCCAACGCTGAGATTATAATAATCTAGAAAATGTAATAAATGAACAAAACTTGTGGCCTTTGTCCAAGGCTTCGAGTCTTTTATCCACCGCTTGCAAATCCTTGAGCCTAAGTTCATCATGGATTATTTCGGCATCACGCACTGGGTCCACGCCGCCGTCTTCTACGTGCGTTACTTCTGGATCTTCGAAGCAGCGACCTACGTGAAAAAGGGCATCGCAAGCGGACGCGTGAGACAAGAAAGCATTACCTGAGTACCAATTTATATTTTACGATTAATATTTACTTTGTATTACCTAATTTATTATGTAGTAGCTTGATTGTAGAGTGTGGAGTCATGATTCGTTACTTTTTAAGTTAGAATTTATCAAAAATTATAAAATTTCAATTTTTTATTTATTATTAATAAAATATTTAACCGAGTTCTCTTATCAAATACCAAACAAAGATGGCTATGATAATGGCAATTTACTTAATAATGACATTTAAATTTTTTTTAAATAAAATATTTAGTATAACCCATATTTCTATAACTCATGGTATGGAAATAAAAATAATTTTAATTTAAACCATGTAAATTCAATGTAGCGATTAAAAGATTAATGATTTAAAAACGCGAACGCATTATCGCAAAATCTAAACCGCATTAACTTTGAAGCGGTTACATTTTAGCGAAACTTTTATGGAGCTTTTGTAGCAATCACTAACGCGAGAGCATCACAGCGAAACAATGATATATTGCGGGTGCATTTATTAAAAGAACAACATATTCAATATATATATTTACAGATAGAAGTTCTTAAATTATAAGCGCAAAATTTTATATGGTCATTTCATTACTTCTCTTTAAGTGAGCAAGAGTTAACTTCAATGTGACTATCTGGTGTGATGAAAAATTAACCTTGCAATTTCTTCCTGATCTTTACTCATGGTCGAAAATACGCGTTGGGCTCAGTTTTTTTACTCCAATAAATTAATCACTCCATCCCCTCTGGCATAAATGGAAATGTAAAAAATGTGCTTTAGTGCTGTAAACATTTCTTAAAAAAATTGAACGCGTTCATGTTCATTAAAAGTTTTATGAATAAATTTTTTTTAAAAAAATTATTTTTCTTCTTTTATTTAATTTATTATTAATATACTAGTAAATAGCCCGTCAAAAATGACGGGGAATGAAAATTTTCTTCTTACTTTTATGCATGTTATCTGTTATTTGAAAATAATATCCAATTTTTATTCTTCTTACCCCCTCATCGCTTCAGGCCAGGTATAATCCATTAAAAATAGTGCTATGGTTTGAGTAAAAATAAATTTAAAGCATTTACTTGATAATACCAATATTATTTGTTAAATATTACTGATTACTTATACCTAATATTTAATATTAAAAAAAATTTCCAGGCAAAGTCCAAAGCCATATTAATTATGAAAATTCTTCCAAGCCCAATTAAAGATCATAATAATTTTGGTAGTTGAGAACTGAAATAAAATATTTAAATAATCATAATGAATTTAAAAATACAATCAAAATTCAGATTTTCATGGGCCTTGGTTTTTTGATCAGGTCAAGCCCAGGCCTGCAAAAAAATTTGTTTTGGGCCAATGTCTGACCTATAATTAATAATAAAAAAATTCTCAAGCGTCCAAGCTCATAATAATTTTGAAAAATTTTCCCCAAGCCCAGCCCAATATAATTTATAAAAATATTTTCCAAGCCCAGCCCAACCCATAATAATTTTATAAAAAAAATTTCTCAAACCTGGCCAACCGATAGTAATTTTCCAAGCTTGGAAATAGGTAAATCTCTAAAAACCATATCTATTTTTTAGTCTATTTTAACCTAGCTCACTCCAACCAAGGCCAACCCATTAAGACTAAAAGTGAATACTATTTTTTTGAATAAAAATATATTTAAATTAGATTTTACCTGAGGGCCATATAAATATTCTGTGTTAAATATTACACCTATGCCTAATATTAAAAAAATTCCCAAGCCAGGTCCTCGCACTTGGTTTTCTCAAATCCGCAATAGACCACAATAATTTTGATAGTTGAGGACTGAAATAAAATATATAAAAAGTCACAATGCATTTAAAAATACAATCAGAATATGAAAGTTGCATGGGCCTTGGTTTTTGATCAGGCCTTGCCATGTCTTCAAAAAAAAATTTTAGGCCAATTTCTAACCCATATTTAAAATTAAAAAATTTACAGGAATCTTAGACTATAAAAATTATGAAAAATGTTTCTCAAGCTATGTCCAACCATATTAATGGTGAAAAATATTTCCCAAGCCCAGGAAAACCCAAATAATTTATTTGATCCAGAAAAAATAGGTCTGATGTAAGGGGCTTATAAGAATTAAATCTGTCTAATTTCAAAATTATAATCAAATGAAGGGTAAATTTGAGCTCCTGGTATTTATATGAAATTCATGAATACATATTAAAGTACCATTCTGAAAATATGTTCATCCTAATTTAAATTTTAAACAAACCATTTTAAATTTTGATATTTCCAATACATGCTCACAGTATACATTGCAACAATTTTACCTCTTTTACTCTTAAATTTTAATATTTATATAAAATTTATTAATAAAGTATATTTAATACCATACACACAAACTAAATAATTACCCTTCAACACATGGTTTTTTGATCAGTTCTGGCTGTCTGCAAAAAAAATTTCAGACCAATATATAACCCATATTTAAAATTCAAAAATCATAAATCATAAAGCACCTCTATTTTAAATTTTATTCAATATGATTTCCATCACATTTTTAAATTTTGATATTTCTAATACATGCTCACAGTATACATTGAACAATTTTACCTCTTTTACTCTTAAATTTCAATATTTATATAAAATTTATTAATAAAGTATATTTAATACCATACACACAAACTAAATAATTACCCTTCAACATCTATATAATTAATATTTTAAATTATATTATATTCAGGTTGGTGCATGTGTGAAACTTTAATATATATATAATTAATATTTTAAATTTATTTATATTCAAGTTGGTGCATGCTGTAAAGCAAATGCCTTTGAAACGGGAGGCTCGGGTTTCTCGTAGAGAGCAAAAAATTAACATTACCTCGGGTTCGATTCTCGTAGAGAGCAAAAATTAAACATTACACTATATAGTCTCCTTAAATTTAAAATACATTAGGGAGATACGAAAACGATCGTGTTATGATTATGGAGATATGTTAGATGTTTTTTCACATTATGAAAATGTGTTACAACAATTCATATTATTAATGTGTTTATGTACATTGTGTTTATTGTATTTTTTTTACCAAAAAAAATAATATATGAAATGACGAATTATAATTTTTCCATTGACGTAAAAAAGATAGTAAAATATTATTTATTATTATGAAATTATATACAAAATAAAAGTATTATCATCAATAACCCAAAACAATATAAATATTGGATCGGATTTTCTAAAATCGGCATAGCTTTACTTGTAAATAAGAATAAATGAGTGTTTCAATCAATAAAATAAATAAAAATTTTAAAATTGATTAATCATTCAATAACACATGCTCACTATATTAATTCATTTTTTAATTAATTTCTTGGTATTTTAAAAAACTATAATAAATTCTAATTATAATTATTCTTATAATATCAAAGGTAAAAAAAAATCATTAGTATATTTTTCATCGGATAGGGTCGATTATTTTATTTTTTTCGAAAAAGTGGAATCTTTGTATATAATTTTGATATTAAATTTGTTATTTACAATTAGATAGTTTTTAAGATATGCTTAATTGAATGAAGGAAGATAATGGTAAAAATACGTCATTTTTGCCACTTTGAACCCTAATATCTCCAAAAATATAAATGTTACGAGGCTTAAATTTTGGCTATTTTTTAACTACACATACCTTTCTTTGCTTACTAAATTTAAAAAAAATCGAAGGGGGTCGGCCGAAAATCTCATTTTTTTGCTCATTTGACATGGTATTACCTTATTCATATTTTTTATATATAATTAATGATTTTGCAAGAAATATATAAAAAAAATTTGAAAAGAGATTTAAATGATATTTATGATATTACAAATGCAGGAATTAATAAATCATATTAGATAATAAAAATAATTTAAAAAATACATAAATATCACAAACAAGTAATGATAAATACTTATTAAAGATAATGAATAAAATAAAACTAGTATATTTTTTTTAGAGATGCCATTTAGCCATACACTCCAAATATAAGTTATATTTAAAATACAGCAAATAACCTACATAATAAATCACTTGATTTAATTTATTTTCTTATTAGCACATTTTCAACTCTCATTAAATATACTACTCTCCCTTCCCTGTTTAAGCTATTAATGGGGAATAATTAATATTAAATCCCTGGTTATTATAATTAATTCATCAATAAATATTTTATTAATTATTGCAAATATTCATTCTTATATGTGTATGCTATGTTCTTCACAAATAAATAATAAAAACTGTATTCTAATAACTATTTTAATTTAATTGGTAATGATAATTTAAAAGTATCTTGTATTTAAGATACTCTAATTTAGATATTTTGGAAAAGATACTAGTATCTGTATCTAAGATTCATTTTTTTATAAAAAATCTGTATCTGTATCTAGATTCTTTTTCCGGAGGACCTGCCCAACTCTGCATATAACTCGATTTTTGTTTAGTAAGGTAGATTATGAATCCCTTATATAATAAAAGCCTTGTCACAATTTGTCATATTTTGTGAAAAGTGTAAAGCAAGAATGATGTAAAAATAGATTATATAATAAAGAAAATACTATAAAAATATCCCCGACATAACTTTTATAAAGGTACTATATATTTTTGAATTCAAAAATTCAAGTTGGGCAATAGGAAATTCCTAAAGCGATATACCAGACTTCTTAAAAATCTTGTTCCTTTCTCAGTTTTGGAGATGTATATTTTTTTGGTAAAATTTTTAATATTTTCTTATATTATTTCTTTTTTTTGTTGAAAGCTGATTATTCAAAGTCTTAAAGTATAAGTGACACAGTTTCGGTAAAAAATTTGAATTATTGGATTTTTAATCTTAGGAATCGAAGCAATATGTTTTGCTATCCTGTATGGATAATAATGGTTGTCAAGCAAGAATAAATTTTTTAGGTCATAACATATATGTGTATAAAAATTTAATCGAAATGTATGCTCGAAATCAAATCATAATATATGCAAATTTTAAAAACAATTATAAATT